ATAATTAAGTACCTGGAATCAACCTAACAAGGAAGGTAAAGGATTTTATAATTAAAATTACAAAATTCTGCTGAAAGAAATTGAAGTGGATCGTAGGAAATGAAAAGGCATTCTTTATTCTTGAATCAGAACTAACATCATGAAAATGACAGCATTACCAAAAGTGACCCATGGATTTTTGTTTTTATTCATTAAGTTTGTTGGTACATTTTAGGTATACATTATGATCACATTCATCATTGGGATTTTGTACCTGTACATGATTTATCTTGGTTCTTGTTTTTTCTATTTCCCTTCCTTCCCTTCCACCTCTCCACCCCTCCCTATTTACAAAAGCTTTGTTTCAATTTTTTTCTTTTTCTCATTTTTTTCTTTCCTTTCTTTACCTTTCCTCACTCCCCTCCCTAGTTCACCTTCCCCTTTGAACCTTTTCTTCCTACTTCACATTATCCATTTCAGTCTTCATTTACACTTTCAGTTTCTCAACCAGAGAAATAATTCGGAGAAACAATGTGTCTTATTTCACTTATAAGTATGTTCTCAAGGTGCATCCATTTAGCTATAAATGTCTCTAGTTTCTCATTCGTTATGTCTGAGTAGTACTTCATTTTGTAAAAAACAAAACAAAACAAAAAAACCCTCACATCTTCTTTGTCTAGTTACCAGTTGATGGGCATTTGGGCTATTTCCAAGATTTAGCTAAATGTAGGGTGTGCATATATCACTATGATGCTTTTAATTCTTTTGGGGAGATACCTAGCAGGGGAATAGCTGGGTCAAATGGGACTTCTAATCCTAGTTTTTTGAGGAATCTCCAAACTGATTTCCCCAGTGGTTGCACCAGTCTACACTCCCACCAACAATGAAGAAAGGTTCCTTTCTCCCTACAGCCCTGCCAGCATTTGTTGTTGGTTGATTTACTGATAGCAGCCATTCTTCCTAGAGTGAGGTGGAATCTCAGCATTGTTTTCATCTGCATCTCTCGAATGACCAGTGATGTTGAACATTTTTTCATATGTTTATTTGCTATTTCTACTTCTTCTGAGAAATGTCTGTTCATTTCAGATGCCCATTTTTGGACTGGGTCTTTAAATCTGGGAGATCTGAATTTTTTAAGTTCTTTATATATTCTAGATATTAGTCCTTTGTATGAAGAATAGCTAGTAAAAATTTTTTCCCACTTTATGTGTTGTCTCTTCACTCTGTTGATGACTTCTCTTGGTGTGCAGAAGCTTTTTAATAAGATGAGATCCCACTTGTTGATTCTTTGTGCTAGTTCATGTCCAACTGAGGTTTTGTTCGTGAAATTTTTTTCCTATGCCAATGTCTTCAAGAGTTCTACCTAACCTCTCTTCCAGCCGATTTAGTGTTTCTGTTTTAATATTTAGATCTTTGATCTATTTTGATTTTAGTTTAGTGCATAGTGAGAGATACAGGTCGAGTTTTAATCTTTGGCAAGTTGAAACCCAATTTTTCCAGCACCATTTATTAAAGAGGCTATCTTTCCTCCAGTGAGGGTGTTTGGCTCCTTTGTCGAAGATGAGATGGCTGAGTGTGTCTGGCACTGTTTCTCCATCTTCTAATCTGTTCCACTGCTCCTCAGGTCTGTTTCTTTGCCAGTACCATGCTGTTTTTATCACAGTATTTTTGTAGTATAGTTTCAAGTTGGGGATTGTGATACCCCTGCCTTGTCTTTGTTGCCTAGAATTGCTTTTGCTATTCTAGGTCTCTTCTTGTTCCAAATGAATTTTCGGATTGTTTTCTCTAGTTCTGTGAAATACGTGGTTGGAATTTCAATCAGAATTGCACTGAATGTATACAGCAGTTTTGGAAGTATAGGTTGACCTATAGATTTAATGTAACCCCTGTTAAAATACTAACAACATTCTTCACAGAAGTTGAAAAAAATCCTAGAATTCATACGGACTCAGAAAGATGCAGAAAAGCCAGAGTAATTCCAAGAAACAAACAGTAAAGCTGGAGGTATCTCAATCCTGGATTCCAATTATACTACAAAACTATAGTAATAAAAGTAACACAGTACTGGCACAAAGACAGACATGTAGGCTGGTGGAATACAACAGAAGACAGAGAAGCAACCACATCCACCTACACCCATCTAATTTTTGACAAAGGGTCCAAAAATGTTCAATGGAGAAAAGACAGCCAATTTAACAAATGTTACTGGGAAAATGTTACTGAATATCCATTTATAGAAGACTATTTGTCCCTGTCACCCTGTTTGAAATCAAATCAAAATGGATCAAAGGCCTGGTCATAACAGAAACTTTGAAACTGCTATAATATTGGGGAAACAACTGAAGCCACAGGTATAAGCAAAGACTTCCTGAATAGGACTCCAATAGCACAGGAAATAATATCAAGAATCAAGAAATATGATTACATTAAATTAAAAAGTTTTGCACAGCACAGGAAACAATCAACAAAGTAAAAAACCAACCTATAAAATGGGAAAAAAGTTCTTCTAAGAACTCAAAGAAAAGAAAAGAAAACTAGCCTCCCCCAGACAAATAACCTAATAAAAAAACCAGGCAAATGAACTGAAAGACACTTCTGAAAAGAAATATATAGAAAGAGGAGAAAGCATATACCAATAGTATATGAAAAACCATTCAGCATCTTCCTTCTTTTCTCTCTCTCTCTCTCTCCCTCCCTCCCTCCCTCCCTCTCTCTCTCTCTCTCTCTCTTTTCTTTCCAGTACCAGGGATCAAACTCGGGGACCTTGGGACCTTGTGCTTGCGAGGCAGGTGGCGGAACCACTAAGCTAAATCCCCAGCCCTCAGCATCTTTAGTCATTAGAGAAACACACGTCAAAACAATGCAGAGGTTACACCTTATCTTAATGTTATGGTTTGGATGGAGAATGTCCCCCAAAGGACTCACGCGCTTATATTCGGGGCTTTTTAAAGGTAACTGAATCAAGGGGGTGATATAGCTGACTTGCTGTTAGGAGGTGGGTCTGTTTAGAAGAGAGTGGTCACTAGGAGTGTAACCTGGAAGAGTATACCTCTTTTCCCAGTTCCTCCTTTCCTGCTCTCTGCTTCCTGGCTGCCATGATGTGAACAGTTTTCTTCCTCTATGACCCTCTGCCAAGTCCTTCTGCCTTGGGGCTGTCTAACCATAGACTGAAACTTGTGAAAACGTGGGCCTTAAAAACTTCTTCTTCTTTAAATTGTGAGTATCTGATATTTTGTCCTAGCAATGAGAAAGTGAATAAGACACCCAGTGAGAATGGTTATCATCAAAACCACACAAAACAGTGAATTCTGACAAGGACAGGGGAGTGTGAGAAGGAATCCTTCTATACTGTTTTTTCATATGTAAACTAATACAATTATTATGGAAATTCCTGAAAAAACTTAAAAATAGAAACCCCATTTGACTCAGCTTATCTCCCCTAAAAGAGTTTAAGACGTTGTACTATAGTGACACATGCATACCCATATTTATAGCAGTACAGTTCACCATAGCTAAGCTCTCAAAACAATCTAGATACCCATCACCAGATGAATGGATAAAGAAAATGTGGTATATGTAGACAATGGAATATTACTCAGCCATAAAGAAGAATGAAATCATGTGATTTGTAGGGAAATGGATGGAACTTGAGATTGTTATGCTAAGCAAAATGTGCCAGACTCAGAAAGTTAAAGATCATGTGTTTTCTCTTATATGAGAAAGCTAAAATATAAATAAATGAACCAATAAAATAAGAGAGATGATAGGAAACTGGCAGGTAGACTCTTAAAGATGGGAAAAGAGACCGGGGAGGGAAGAAAGGGAGAAGAAGGTAAAGAAATGTACATGTACCAATTCCCCAAAACGAACATGTACTTTAAAAAACTGAATTTCTAATTTAAGTCTTCTATTATATTTCTTAGCAATGTATGGTCATTTTTCCATACCTGCTCTTCTAAGTGATCAGGTTAATGCCCACATGTTTTACAGGTACATAAATTCCTGTGAATGGAACCTTTATTCTCCAGTGTATTCTCTACTTATGCTTAATGGGGCTGTTTTGGTATTTTAATCTGTAAACTGCCACTTAATTGTTTTCTTAGTTTAGTAGTCATCAGTTGACTTCTGTGGCTCATGTCATCTTTATAAATATTTGTTCTTCCTTTAGTTTTACACTGTCTTTCTATTTCTTATTTTACTATAATGATGAGTGCTTCCATAACAAATGTTAAGTAATGAATGGAGTTATGAGCAGATTTCTCTGTCTTCTTCCTGGCTATAGTAAGAATTTTTCTAATATTAACTATTAAAATCAGTGTTGAATTCTGAGCCATATTTTATCACATTATGTGTTTTTCTAACCTGTAATTCACTAATAATTACTAGGAATTTAAATCATGAATCAATAAATGGAGGAATATTAACCTTCATATGTGATTTTATTATAAACAACTTATGGTAGAATCTATTTATCTTTTATTTATCCTGTTATGGGATGGTAAGAGTGATGGCAAAAACAAAAAGTTTCAAATAAAGATAAATAGAATTTTAGGTAGAGAGCTATAGGGTGGGACAGTTTGTAGTGAAATCATTAGGAGAATGTTACTGTTAAAATAGCAATTCACATATCTTAATTGTTTTCTTATAACTCACAAGTATAATTCTATAATTAAAAACATGTACTTTTTGCACTAAGAAGCTACTAGAGAGATATTATAAAGGCAATTGGAAAAAACCCTGTAAGATTGTAGAAAATTCACAGTAGAAAAATGTCACTTAAAGTCCCAAGAAGATTTTGCTAGCTCTGGGAATACTATACACATATACATATTAAGAAGATTAGCCTGTATGAACAAGTATATCAAAGGTGGAGTCTGGAAAATTCTAAATATGAATGTAACATTCTGTTATGAACACCCACAAATACACATCTACACAGATGTGTCCATGCACAACCAGGATTATTTTTGATTTGATGTTATCTGGTACATTCAATAGCAAACACAGACTGGGAACAGTACCTGTTTTGTCTGTCAGTAAGTATACCAGGCGGCCCAGTTCCTCTGGTATGGTGCTGGTCCGAACAACTGTACCAGGAATGTTCTCATCTTTCATGATCATCCATCCATATGCTGCTTTGCCCATGTCCAAGTTTACACGCAAACTGCCAAGTAAAATCATCATAATGAGATATAAGAACACTACAGGAAAATAATGACATGTGACTATGTTCAGGCTCATGGTTACATGTGAACATATTTACATGTATTCTTTAATTTTCAGGGAAATAAATAATAGATAATATTAGTTTCAGACTTTAAAATAAATGAATTTGTGGACATTTAAGTCAGCCAATGCTTTTATACCCCAGATAATGTTTGCAAATTACAATGACATGGTTAACTTCCTTTCAGCTGAATTTGTGACACTAGATGGAATAAAAAGAGGCAGTTTTAAGTGCCCTACTAAAGTACAAAGTACTATGGGGAGCAAAGGAGAGAGTACACACATTTAAGGAAATCAAGTAGTGATTACTGCGAATAAATATGTGCAAGAGATCTTTATCCACTTGTTTTACCATTATTAACTGAATGCCTCCTGTGTTCCAGGTACTAAATTGTAGAACACAAGAACAAGATATGATAGGATAAATACAAAGGAATGTGTTACTATGTTCTCAAGTTTTTTTGGTTAAAGCAATATAGCAAGACTGCAATTTTAAACACATGTTGGACACTATACCTAGGACAATTCTGTCTGGAACTATGGAACTAGAATAGATGGCCTCTAAATGGGCCTTCGAGGTTTTAACTAAAATGTGGCTATATAAGAAGATACATTAAAATTCCACCCTAACAGCACAGCTCTTCCCATTTACCAACCAAATAAGTTAAAGTCTAATTTAACTCTATCAAGAAAAAAGCGGATAGGATGTACCTAAATCATGGTGTGATACTGCTAAAGGCCAATCAATTCTGACCCACCAAAATGATAATTCATGTGGTTCAACCTATTAATAAACATACACTTGAAAAATAATCTTTAGGAATTGGTCAGTAAAGAAAATCTGTAAGTTAAAGAACATTAAACAATAATTTGATTCTTCTATCCATACAGTTCCCATTTTAAAATGATATGAACTATGTATACTAGTTGAAAGGAAAATCCATTAAGTGCTAATTAATGCATATACCTTTCAAGCCAGTATCTTTCGGCTACTCATAATTCTGTCAGAATAGTGAAACAAACTAATGACAGACAATAAACACAAAGTAAAGGTGATTCAATATGATGCTCTAGGAAGGGTCTGTGGCTTTCTGGCTTCCTGGGGTCATGCTAGTCCAGGTTGTGTGGGTCTTCGACCCAGAGCCACTATACCTGTATGCTAGACAAATCTCTGTGCCTCAGTGTCTACCATCATACTTGTGCTACAAGAAACTTCTCTGTCAGAAATGAAGAGTCAATCTCTGAAACTTAAGTACAGTCCCACAGTACAAGAAAGCCTCAAGAAACATGAGAGATGTCCCTGCCAATGGCTGTGAAGTCTTAAGACTGCTAAGCATGGGTTTAAAACACTGGAGATTTGAAGAAGGAAAAAAAATTTTTTTATGTAGGCTGCTTTGATTAGGGCTTTGAAGGAGTCACCGTGAAGCAGAAAAATAAAGGCCAAAGGTTGCTTGGATGAAACAAACGCACCCAATTGGGATGGACAAAGGCAGGTGAGGCAGCCAGTTTGAGTAAGCACAGAGAAGAGGAGAGGCATAGCAGGGGATCGGACACCTAGCTTTGATATCTCTTATTCTGTGGCTCAAGGATCTGTACTATGGAAACATTACAGTTTCTCCATGTGTTGTATTCTTTTGGATTCTAATTATATTATTTTGGAAAATGTCAGCCTACAGAGTAAGGTATGACCTGCCACTGGGCTCAGGGTAGTGGAAACCAAAGAAGTATCTACAAGCTGCTTCTTCATGCGCAATTTATGGTTTAATAAAACAATTTCTGTTGTTCAAGAGTTACAGGAATGTATTATTTTATGGAACATCATATTATAAATAATTACCACTGGGGCTAGTAGCAGTAGCTACTAGGAGAAAAGAGGAGAGAGAGCATCCTTGGGGGTTATAGTAAAAAGAATGACCCCAGAACACAAGTTCACAGTTTACCAGTGAAAAATCACTTAGTAAAATATATCTTTCCTCAATTAAGACAATACTGCTACACAAGGAATAGCTTGTTCACATGAACTATGATTCATATTATATATCTGATCAAATGCTCAGGAAGTAATTTTGTATTTAATGTTAAAAGTATCTACGATGCTCAAATTTCAAATGCTAAAGTTGGCACAGTAATTATCATCATTGCACTGAATGTTTCAGAAATGCCCTATTTTATACAATTTCAAAACCCAAATTTCCATCTAACTGTAAAGCATCATGAAAACACAGATACTAAACCTACTGTTTTGCAAAGGATTACAAAAACAAATTACATGGTAATAGATGATAGATACATTTTAAATTCACTGTATTGCTGATTTAGGAACTATTAAACTGTTATTAATAGACTTATCCCAGGACAGTGGAAATTATTTGTATTTCAGATGGCTAACTAAACCAGGAGGCAATTGTGACTTTTATCACTATATAGTAAGAAACTGGAAATGAATTATCTTGAATAAATAGTGTGTTCAGGGATGTTACAAATAGGAACATGTATGAGTCTTTCTGCTACAGTAAGAAAAGTATGAGGTAAGTTTTACAACCCAAGAATGATAGCTCTTATTATCCAAACAACCTAATCCTTCAACTACCAAAATATTTTCAGGAGCTAACTTGGACTCTGAATAAATCTGAAGTGCATTTTCCTAAAATAAATGCTATGACCCCCCTGAGCCCCAGGATGCTCCTATATTTAAGCTCTAATTTGTTACAATTAAACCTCTGTACTGTACTTATCACTGCCAGGTGAGCTCAGTTCTCACAGCCCATCTGAGAAATGCAGGCAATTCTCCTCAGGGAACAAATCTACCTGAAATAATTCACATGGAAATTCTAATCTGAGCAAAACAAAAAAATAATTTTAATCAGAAGTTTTCTCAAAAGTATTCAAAGACCTTTTTCTATAAATATTAACTCAGAAAGGACATAGATGCATTTTATCTGAAAATTTCCAAGCAGTGTCCATTCTTCACAATGCACTATGGTTGGCAGCAGATGGCATGAAGACATTTCACTGAGTGAACTGCCTAGTATAACTATGTGAAGACAATGCTTGAATCTCAAGGACCAGTTAGTCTCCTTGTGAGCTTTGCACTCACACACACTGCTGTCTACAGGTCACCTGACCTTAGATGGATCAAACACCTTTAAATGAACATGTGCACAGCAGAAGATAACACATCCACTTCCTCTCTTTCCTGGTAAATCAAAATGAAAACAAAGCAAATTTATACCTCCTCCATGAGGAGAAAATTTTCCATTCTCAAGTGATCAAGATCCACCATTGCTCCAGCCAGACATCAGCAAGTATTCTAGGTTCCCTTTTCCTTTTACATCTATATCCAAGTTGTCATGAACTCCTGCCAACCCAACCTCCTAAATTTTTCTACAACTGCCTTCTATGAATCTGGAGAGGAAGCAAAGATAATAGAACTCTATAGGCTTGATAATAGACATGATTTATACTGATTCCTAATTATTATTCGTGCTAGCCCTCATGATCTCAGATTTATTCTTTCCGGGCCTCAAATGCCATGTACTAGGCAAGTAATGATAAAGACTAGCAGTGATGCATAAAGGTGACTGCAAATTACTCCAGTGACATCAGAAGTTGATTACTGGTCTTAACCACCAACAAAGTTTCTACAGAAAAGACCGACCCTGAGCTGTGATGGGAAGGACAGGTGGAAGGAGTATCTTTGTACAAGCATTTAAAGGGGCAGTGGATAGCAAAGCTCAGAATTCAGAAGGCATATCAGGTGTATCAATCATGCATACACTGATACACTACATACATAATGTAACTGCAAAAAGGTGGAAGCATCCCCAATATGTTACGAGTTCTACTTGGCTTGTAACAGATATAAGGCTAAACAAATGTAGTCATGGGTTCTAAGGCACAAAAAAGCCTATAAATAAAATTTTACATCATATTTGAAGTTTCTATCCAAGTGTGGGAGTACTGAGTGTTTGAAATAAATTAGTAAAAGTAAATGGAGCATCCATGTTCAAGATGGCCAAGCCACAGACAAGCAGGGCAATGGCTCCCTAGGCAGTGGGTTTGCCCCAGGACCAAGCACCTGGGACTGCCTGTGGAATTCTGAGGACCCAATGCATTCCAGTGAGTCAGGAGATAGTGCCAATTCATGAGAGTTTTCAGCCAATGCCAAATTCAGTTTCTGCCTAGGCTGATGCCAACCTACTTTTACTGATCACAGGATATAGAGTACTTGAAAAGTTCTCTAGCATTCAAGATTGTTTCTGGCTTTCATGTGCACTAGCCTGGATAGTTTGCAGAGTGGCCTGTGACTGGACTTTGGAAATAAATGTAGTTTCATTTCCTAGCTGATTCTGAGGACACTATTTGAAGGAGTACTCTGACTGATTCAGAATGAACCAAAATTAGAAACTCAAGAATGGGAAAGGCGAGCACCAAAATATGTACTGTATATGACAAACAGTTAAGCAAACATAGGTACCAACCTGAAAGAACCACCAAAATTACTTTCCAAAAAGATTTTACTATTAAAAGGAAATAACTACATATATGAGTATATGAATTCAGGTTGAATGAGCAAATATTAGGAAGTACAAAAAAGAAAAAAGTAAATGAATATTAAATTATGCAGTCTGAATTAAGAGTGGTCACAAGCTGGTTCTTGAATGATGTTTTAGTCACTTTTACATTGCTAGGACACAATACCCAACACCCACAACTTAAAGAAGGAGAAGTTTAGTTTGGCTCGCAGTTTGCAGAGGTTTCACTCCATAGTTACCTGGTACTAAGGCAGGGCAGTGCGGCAGAAGGGCATGGTAGACAAGAAGCAGAGAGAATCAAGGGAGGAGCCAAGGAAGGAGACCTACTTTCTCTGACCAGACCCCATCGCTTAATAGCATGCTAGTTTCCAAAAGCTCAGTCCATAATAGCATAAAACTTTAG